ATCGGGCGCCCAGATGCGCGAGTGAGGGTCATCGATCGGGAAACGTCGGAGTGGACGTCCACAGTGGACCCGCCGTCACAAGAAGAATGTCTCTCACAAGTGGAAAAGATGCCTCAACATGTGGACGCCATTTCCTCAGTTGCGAATGGTGCACTCCAGACTCCAGACTAGGAAACGCTGGGTCCAGACATATTACAGGTAAGTCCTTCTTACATTGTCATTTACTTTGTTAGTGCCCATGGCTTTGGCAACAGCCATTGGAGCTTGCTTTACGGGCTTTGGATGTGGAGTGGCGGCCTTGCTTTTTGCACAGCCCCTCGGACACTCATGTGGATGTGGAACGAATGAATGGCAATGTTTTGCCCCTGCGTGGGCCTAGGGCCTAGAGTGTGATTGTCTCATGACTGAGAAGTGTTTGCGTTTTCAAACTCACATCATTTAGCCACAATCCTGGACCCACTGGAGGCGGCAGAGGAGCCTGCCAAGCACATCAACGAGTTCGAGTCGGCCTTCCGATCCCAACCAGACTGTCCGAATTGCCCAATGCAACTGTGGCCAACTTCAGGTGACAGTCACAGGTCCCGACCCTGAGCGCATCAGTTTGTGCCATTGCAATCTGTGCCAGAAGCAGTCTGGAAATGTTTTTGCAGTTCAGGCACGCTTCCCCAAAGAGCAGGTGGCGATTAAAGGAATATCCACCGTGTGGAAACTCGCGAAGGATGAAGCAGACCAGCTTGCATATCGCAATTGCGTTAGCCTCGGAGGTGGTGGTTCCTTTCACTTCTGCCCCAACTGCGGTTCGACTGTGTGGTACATGGCAGATGCAGACAGCGCCCGCATTGGCGTGAAGATTGGTTGCTTCACTGACCCAACTTTCCCGCCGCCCAAATTGTCCGGTTTTGAGGAGTACATGCACCCATGGGCGATGGAGGCAGCTTCCCTTGCAGTTCAACATATGAAATGACGCCATGTCATATGAAGCGGCTCGGCCGCTCGGGCCCTCCACGTCCAAAGAAATCAGAACTGCTTGCAGCAAAAGAATGAAGCAGCTGTGTAGGTGTCACGTGTTCTTTCCCTGGAAGTGCAAAGGAAAATTGGTGATCACAGGATTCCCCTGTTTCTGTCCTCCAGATGTGTTTGAGAGGCCCGCTGGAAGACTTTTCTGATGGACCCACTTTGTGATGGTTCGAGCCACTTTCCGAGTGCTGCAGATGGATCGCATCGGTTGGTCTGGGTCCGAAAGTGGTGGATAGTTGTGTTTGTGAAGCAACCCCAGTTATATTTGCTTTCAGGCTACTCAGCGTTTTGTTCACCGCCTGCGCTTGTATTTTGCAATCATTTAGTTCCGACGGTGCATTTGCACAGGTTAAGCTAAGCTAAGTTGTCGGTGAAGCTGCTGCAAAGGGCTTTCGTTTTTCATTAATAAATGTGAAAGAGTTTGGCAAAGGTTCCCATGTGTTTGACTGAACCAAGGGTCCTCAACTTTCATTTTGGCAGAAACATGTCCTGCGGCGTCTGTGGTCAGATTTGGCCTTTGCAGAAAACTGCGACACCTACCTGTTTCTTCTTTCAGAGTCTAGAACCATCCACAGGGCCCAGTGAAGGGGTTTCAGTTTCATCTGAGATACAGTTCATGACTCAGATGGTAAATGTTGTTTGCAACATTCTCTCGACATGTCTAGTTTCAAATCAAAGTGCAAGACCTCTGCAGACAGCTGTTTTAGAGACTTTGCAAGAACACCTGCCTGTCAATAACACATTGTCCACAGCAAGTAACACCCTTCTGCGCACAGTTGTTGAAAAGTTGTTTCTGGCAGATAGCCGCAAGGAGCAAGGAGCAAGGTGACTGAAACACATGGGGTAGACCAAAGTTTCACCATCCAAAACATCTCACGTTCTGATCGATTGAACCGGATGGGCAACCAAGCGCCTTAAGAAAGGCGGTCATCGCTAAAGCTTTGGGACGGAGGAAAGACGAAACCACATAAATCAATAATCTTCTGGGTGCAGACCATGGTTGGGGCAATGGTGTGCAAAATCACCGGCTGTTGAGGAGCTAGTGGCCAGAGGACACAAGGACACATCCTTGTGGGATTTTTGTCACTCCATTTCTCACCTGACCTCAACTTTCTAAACATTCTTATTCAGTCTCAGGTGGTTGAGGCTCATTGACCCCTTTCCTTTCCAACCCCTTTCCGACCTAGGTCGGATTGAGCGCTAGGTCTGGATGAGTTGGACGTCCAAGGGATCTCCACATGGAAATGCAAATACCTTGAAGGCATTTTCTTGGTGGCCTCTAATGACCCCGACGACCTTTGGGCAGCTTCTGGGAATTTGGCCTTCAGGAATAGCTTCTGGGCGACCGTCGTGCAGGACTTGCATAGCAACAAGACCAACCAAGCACTGAAAGAATGACCATGTCACGAAAGAAACCAAACTGACCAAGCGGTTCACAGGATTTCACCAAGCAGAGTGCTGCTGCCCTTTGCAGCCAACTTGGGGCGAGCCTGAGGATGGAACAGGAAGCCAGCTGTGAATCCCCAAGTCAAAGCATTTCTGCACTAGGTCACTAGGTCTTATATCATCTCATCGTTGTAAGTGAATTTCCTTTGTACGTCAGAATTGTTTGGATGGATTATCCAGGTTCTTGCTTGGATTGTTAAGAGTGTTTCCTTTCCAGCAAGTCTCTCCCAAGCACATCCTGCAATACCAGCACCCCGAGCCCTACGCGCCGGGCGGCGCTGGGTTTTGTCATGGCGGAGCCGTCGGTGACGATTCACGTGAGTTTGCCCAGTGGACGTGCAGAAGTGATCTCGGTGGCGGCGTCTTCCAAGCGCCGTGGTCACGTGGGTTCAGGGAGGATGGTGGAGTGTTCGTTATATAATTAAACATGAACGACCCTATCCACCCCTGGGAAAAAAAAACACACCTCAGCTTCGTGGTCACTTAAAACTTCACCTGAGCTTCCGTGAGTTTTGGCAGACAGGCTTCAGAGGTTTCTCACCTGAAGCGACCGAGGGTCGCGGACCTGAAGGTGGCCGCGCAGCGGAGCTTGCAGGAGACGGGGGAGATGGGGGGTGGAGCCAAGGCGAAACTCAGAGTGGATTCAAAGATCAGAGTCCACCTGAAGACTCTGGCTTTCTAGGTGGATCATGCTCCAGCTTTCCCTTCCATGCCCACTCCAGCTCCTCTGAAAGCTCTGAAAGCCCGAGACCCCAAAGATTGAATGTTCCACAAGGTCATGTGCATCCTCGGTGGCTCAAGCTCCGAAGTTTCTCAAGATCCTTTGCCTGATCTTCCAGGTCCCTCCCTGCCTTGAATCTTCTGTTTTCAGATCCTTTCATCACGACGCTCCCTTCCTTTTCCATTCTTCCCTTCTACCCCTTGGTTGTTTCCCCCTCCGTTCTCCCTTTCACAGCACCCTCCACCCCCCCACCGACCGTCGCCCATTCAGCTCCTGTCGCCCCCAGGAGGGCTTCTTAGGCCTCGTTGGCCCGGATGGGCACCGCCTGGATCCCGCCGACTCCCTGGAGGCCGTCGGGCTCCGCGACGGCGCCGCTCGGTGAACGAGGGGTGAGCATGTGGGAGCATCATAGGTGGAATCATCGAGAATCGGATGGTTGATCTATTGATATGTTTTTTTAATTCTCTCTCTCGACACATACATGGAATGTATCTAAACAAGCAATTGAATTAAAGTTACCTTGAAGGGCATTTTTCAACTTTTCGCAACATTTCTGTAACCTGTGAATCACATCAGCTTCCATCACTTCTCTCTCCGAAAGAGCCCCTGCCCCACATGGTGAAAAGGGGCACTCGATTCACTTGATGTTTCTTCTGGGTGATTTTTTTGTTTTTCTCAGGGCGCAGCATGGCTTTGTTTGTGGGACATCGGCCAGATTCCATTTCAAGCATTGCGGATGTTTGCCTCGTTGGCCGTTTTGGACACCTTTCCAGCAGACCATGATTGCAGATGCCAATAGAGGGTGTTCATCCACTCTGGGGTGTCACTAGGAGGATTGGGGGGAGCTCCTGTATTCTGAGCCCTACTAGAAATCATATGAACAATGGCTTCGCAACCCGTATCTCAAGCCCTTCGGCCCTCTTTTGTACTTCCCTCGACTTGTTTTGCGCAGGCGAATGTTCGGTCCCCAGCCTCAACGGTCCAGCTCTAAACTCCACTTCCAAGGACCACGTGAGCGCGGTGGTGCAATCCGTGCAAGTGGTGGCGGGAGAACGGGCCTTTTGCTTCTGGTGCAGAGGATCCAACCACGTGGAGCCATGGCGAAGCAGAGAAGATAGAACTCCAAATGACTGGCCCGCCACGGTCATGGCCAAATGCTGACCAAGAGCAAGAGAGAGAGAGAGAGAAACGGTTTGGGCTTTGCTTCGATGGGTCTCATGGCCGCCCCCTGTTTTTGGTGGTTGGGGTGAGGATTGCCACGCTCCTTTTCTTTGACTTGATGCTATGTAGTCTTTGGTTCTTTGCGCGACACGGTTCTGGGGTTCCCTCAGTCTCAGTTGCCATGTCTTTTCACTGTCTTGACACATGCATGTCTTAAGATAGGGAGATGTCCAGATTAAACCCCCGGACCTTCACCTTTCAGAAAACCATTCTCGGTCGACGGCTGCGACATGGGTCGACTGAGGTGTCCTGGGGCTTTGTGACTGAAGGTATGGATGCAGGGGTGCGAGCTCGACTCAGCCTCTGGGGTCGAATTTGAGCGTCCTTGGGTCCTCGGGTCCTGGGGACACTGGGATCAGTTGGGAACTATCTCCGTGTTTCGGGAAAGGCAAGTGGTTCATGGTGCCTGTTCCTTTTTTCTTGTTTTGTGAGAATTGACTCTCTGGAACTCCAAATCAGAGCAATTTTGGACCATTACTGCTTCACCGATTTTGCCTTGAAGTCGAACGATTGTCTGGCCAATAAAGGACAGCTCTTGTGGTCGAACGTCGTCCACACACACGAAACGAAAAAGGTCCGTCCTCACGTCGCTCAGGGAACGTCCAGACGATCTCCGCCAGTGCGGGCGCCTTTGCGGCGGTCTTGGGCGATGGATCTCTGGTGGTCTGGGGAGATCCCCACCAGGGGGGGCGACCGGGCTTTGGAGCTCACCGACGTGAGGGAGGTGGTGGGTGCGCAGAAGGTGCACCGGCGCAAAGGGGGGGTGCTGGTGGTACTTTGGGTTGGACAAGGGGCCAAGCACAGAATCTGATGGGACACCTGAATCCACTTCAAAAGAGTTACGGGGAGTTGTGAACCTACGTATGTGGGAATTGCTCATATGCAGCATTATGCATTGTAGCAGTTTCAAGTATGTCGACAGATGTAAAGATCTAACACCAGAACATCAATGACTGCATGTTTGACTTGCAATTCACTTGCGTTTGCTTTGCCCGTCGCAGCTTTGGGATCCTTTTTTTGGGGCCGACAGCCCGCGCGACCAAACGCGAACGATGGGCCGAGGCGTTTGCAGCGATTCTGAACGATGGCCGAGCGGTGGCCTGGGGTGAGCCGGAAGAAGGCGGTGACGCGAGCGAGGTGAAGGCGGCCTCTGGGGGGTTGAGGGCATCCCGATGTTTCATAGGTGAGGGATGGTGAGGGTGATGAGTTTGTGTTCTCAGGCCTTCCGGGATTTTGTGAGGCCTTCAGTCCTCACGAGATGTCAAGGATACCGCTTCTATACAGTCAACAAAGATGTTTTTTTGCTTCTCTAGCGGGATTCTCATGGATTATCGTGAAGGCTTTGGACTGAGGGGCACGGCAAATCCGTAGAAACAAGGGCAACATACATGTTGCCATCCGTAGTAGAACTGGGAAGTCACAGGGACTGGTTGCTAGACGTCCTCTCAGTTCTACCTGGCCACTCTGCGAAACAAGGGGATACAAGATGAACTGGTCCTCCGCGACCAGGACGGCTGATAGCTTTAGTTTGTGAATCATGTGAACTTATTGAAGGCTAACCACTTACCACTTGGATTAGAGTTAGATTAGATGATGTGGTCAGTGAGGTGCTTCACACCTTGCAAAACATTTGCAAGCAAGCTCGGACCCACTTAGCGCCGAGAAATCCAACAGAGAAGTCAATTAGACTTGGACCCCAACTAGAAAGTCTCATGGTTTTCCATTTCTATCAGCAGGTGGTTATATACTTTGTTGCCTTAGTTTATGATCTCAACTGTCACCAAACCGGTGCCTCTCAGGAGCAGTTGCGAAACGTCCGCAGCCTCAGCGCGACGCACCGAGCCTTCGCAGCACTGCTGGAGGATGGCAGCGTGGTTTGTTGGGGCGATAGCTACAACGGCGGCAGCTGCGAGACCGAGCAGGAGCTGATCATGTGGCGCCGAGTCTTTTTCGACCTTTGGGTGAGATGGTGAATGTTCTTAGGGAGGTTTCAGTTCGAGTCACCATTACTTGGGTATACTTGGGTGCCATTTTGTGGATGTCTACTGTGTCCTTTTCGTACCAACACCAATGGTTTGGCTTGAGGAGGTCCTCCTGTTTTGAAACTCATCCGGACCTAACCCTCACAAGACTATTTCCATTTTGATGAGCTTGGGACACAGGAGATGCGTGGCACCACCACGCCGTTGGGGAGAGAAAACGTGTTCGTTGTGCTTTCTTTGACCCATCCTAGAGTCCTAGAGGTTCAAAACTTTGAAGGAAGATCCAATTCACAGGCTGCTGAAGCTGCCTTGTCATTTTTGGGCACCTTTGTTGGGATTTCCACCATATTCCACCTGTATCAGTTCCAAGCAAACTAACCTTGGAAGCTCCAGGTGGATGATCCCCATGAGGACAGCTCTGGGATTCCTGCCCATGTAACCCAAAAAACACGTCAGGAGGCTTTTCGCGTCTTCCGATTTTTGTGACTGATTCCTGCCGGAGGCTTTCAATCGTTCCCAGCCAATTGCCCCAACCCCCCCCCCAGAATTCGTCAGGAGTTCCTCACCAACGTGACCTCGATCAGTGCCTCGGCCTCGGCCTTCGCAGCTGTGCGGCACGACGGCAGCGTCGTGACCTGGGGAGATCAGGATTCCGGGGGTGACAGCAGCGAGGCGAGGGGGGGTTCGGGGTGACCAGTTGATCCAGCGTTGGCTGTTGGATATCACATGCCAAGAACATGTGCCACGCTAGTAGTAACAGGTGCCTTACTAGTAACAAGAACGCTACGTTCGGGGCTCCTGGCCTTACTACTAGGAACAAGAAGCTATTAGTAACAAGGGTGGTCTTCCCATCTCTTGAGCACCCGAACTCATGGGACCTTCGGACGAGCGACCTTCGGAGGTACCCAACCCACCACAAGACTTTGGTAGACCATGAACTCGACTGGTCAAGCTCTTGATTTTCGGTGGTTTGTTCTTTTCTTGTGTACCATCCACCATGAAACAGCCTTTCCGCAAAAAGCTCCAGCAGGTCCAGCCGCTACGGGAGGTGGTGGAGATTTGTGCGACCAACTTCGCCTTCTGCGCGCGCTTGGCCGACGGAGGGGTGAACGTGTGGGGCGAGCCACTGGCAGGTGCTGAGATCACCCAGGTGAGTCGGACAGAAATGAGACTGGCGAAGAATGACAGGGGTAAGTGAGGGCTATTTGAGGGAGGCAAGATTTAGTTGATTCGTTTCCCAGAACGATCTACCAGCTCCTTTCTCTTGCTTCTGGATGAATGCAAAGCATCTCGCTCTTAGGGCTGAAAGGCCTGAGAGACATATTCTTTGATGGGCAATCATCGAATGTGAACAGGTCACTTGCTTCTTTAGAAGTCCAGCATTCCAATAAAACTCAGGCCTACAGGATCTGCCCAAATCTATCTATCCAGCGGATTCGCGATTTCCCATCAAACCCTTGCCCAAAAGAAAGGACTATGCAGACCAAAAATCATTCAGGACACAACCACTCTTACACTCCCATGGCTAGAAAGACTCAATCCGTGATCTTTTGGAATTACCTTACTCTTTCGGAGGTCTCTAGGTCCGTCTTCCTATTTCTTTTTGGAACACCTGGCACTCCAAAAATCAACAGTAATTCAACCAGGCAATTTCCGGATGACGATCCGATACCACTGATTTCGACTCCCATAACTCTCCCATGGCCGACCGCTGGCCCCAGGTGAAGGATCAGCTCTTTGGCGTTCAGAAGATCTACTCCACGCGCTTCGGCGCCTTTGCCGCGCTCCGGGAGGATGGCCACGTGGTCACCTGGGGCCATCCAGACTCTGGGGGTGATAGCAGCAGTGTGAAAGCGCAGCTCTGGACACCCGGCGTGAAATCAGTTTATGGTGTCAAATCGGCAGTATTTGAATGTGTTTGGTGGTTGAATGAAGGTGATTTTAGAAGGAAGTCAGTAGCACGGATGTTGCTTTCACCACCTCCTTTTTCCACCACGTCTCGAAATTCTTCGGACTCCGAAAGTTCGAGGCATGTGTTCGCTTCGTGTTCGCTTCGCTTCCTGTTCCGAGGAATGTGAAAGAGGTCCATTCCACGGCCAAGGCCTTTGCGGCCATCACCCATGCCGGCGGAGTGATCACCTGGGGCGATCCACACTATGGTGGGGACAGCGAGGCAGTTCAGGATCAGCTCAAGGCTCCATTCTCCAAACTGAAACCACCTTTCGAGGTGTCCTCTTTCGTTCTAAAGAAACCTCAAGAGCTGATTTGCTTAATTCTCCCAGGTTTGAATCCGGCCCCCAAACCGATCAACCCGAGCCCGGATCCCATGGAAGGAAGGTCTGGAAATCGGGTTCGACTGGCCAGGATGTGGAAGAGCTCTATGGTACCAACTTCGCCTTCGCGGCGATCCGCCGGGATGGCCGGATCCTCGCGTGGGGTGCCGTCGGCGCAGGAGGCGACATGAGCGAGGCGGAGAAGCAGCTTCCCTATCTGTGAGGCGACAGAGACGCAGGAGAACCCCGTTAAACGGGGTCTTGGTCGGATCTGTTCGACCAAAGGCAACAGTTTGATCAAAGGACGTAGAGCTAGGCAGCTACGCTAAGCTAGGTAGAGCCTATGACCCATCTTTTTTGCGCGTGCCGCATGCTGCAGTTTGAATACCTTGCTTGAAACATACGCAAGGGAGTTTGCGGCTCGCGTACTTTCCGTAGAGAAAAGCAGAGCTGGATTCTACGGTCCTATCGGGTCTATGAGGGAAGGAGCCCTGCACCAATGATGATGATCCACTGGTGAAAACCGGATGGAAGAAGGAAAGCTTGTTAAGGTGAATCATGTCCCACCGCTTGCACGGTTCCAGGTGGTGCGGTGTCTCTCCTTTGCCCTTGTTGTGAGATGGTCCGCTAAAATGGATTTTGTGGTTTACTGTTTCAGTCTTCTTCAAATGGCACCAGTTCCATTCTTCAGAGACACGAACTTCCAACTGGTCGCGTGCAGTTTCAACACTGAAGTGGCTGAACGAATCCATGTTTTTCTGTGGTTTCCAGATGTGGCGATGTTTTTCTATGTCTTCCCAATGGACCGAGTTCGCAACACAAGGCCCCAGCATGTGAGACCATCTCCCCAGAAGCTGTTCCGTGATGTCCCACCATGTCCCACCCACATCAGGCTGTTCCCCGACACCGAGGTTCCGGCGTCGGCCCGATCGACCGGTGGGAGTGAAACAAAGGAGCGGACGGGACGCAGACGGAGCCTGGAGACGGAGGGCTGGAAGGGAGGCTGAATGTGTGTGTTGCACTTCCATTTTGTTTGTGAGATGGGTTTGGAAGGGATGTTCCTTCCCACAGAGGGATTCTTTTATCCAATGGGATGCCCATTCCAGATGACCAAAGATCCACTCGTTCTTTTTGGCAACACCATGCGCTTTTCGATTCGCCAGAGACCTTGTTGATCAAACCACCAACCCTTCCAAGAGGTACTGGAAGAGAGGGTCTTCTCCCAAGGTCAAGGAACACCTGCGGATCGGCCCATTCTTTCAAGATGAGTTGTGTGTGGATGGATTGCAGAGCTTGTCAGCTTCTCCAAAACCTCAACATGAGGGCATAAATGGTATGAAGCGAGTGCAAGAAAGATGAGTGGGGGTTAGGTAGCTGAGAATCAGCATGGATCCTGAGTGTGCCTCGCCAGAAGACTCTGGAAAACTTGTTCCTGCCTGTTTTGAGGTTTGTGACGTGTACAAACTGCTGGCTCCCAAGTGTTCTGAGTTTAGACTACAAGTTAAAGGTGAAGAATGTGTTCTTTTCTTTTAAACCCAAGTATTTGACCTGATTTGGGTGTAATTATTAGGGGAGACTCTTCTAGTCCGAGGGGAAGTTGGCGATAGGTCTCCAAGATTGCAGAGCCTGATCCATTTGTTTGGCCTCCAAAAGGACAATTGGCTGAGTTGGCTGAGACTTGATAAACCCGAGACATCCAACGGAGCAGAAGACACCGGTGGAGAAGCAAATTTGCGCAGCTGTTTCGAACGCTTGGAGTCGAGGCCAAGTGAGATGATGAGCGCCGCAAACCATGGTCAAACGATGTGCAAAGAGAGTTCAAACACCTCAACACTTGATGGGTGGGCACATGGATCTGCAAGCAAAGCATGTAGAGTTGGATCAGATACATTCGTTTTGATGCAGCTATCCCATGCGACTTTTCCGGACCCTTCAGAAGGAAGACGACCCCGGCACAGGAAGAACTTCCGAGGAAGACGTTTGAATTTTGCACCACTAAGTCACTAGGCCACTTGCCCTATTTCCAACCCCAAACAAAAGCAGTCAAGAATACTTAGCATGTCCACAAACTCACCCGGCCTCCAGCTGTTGAATGCAAACAAAAACACCAAGCAAAAGACAACAGGACAGAAAGCTACAAGCACCTGGTCACACTGAACGCTGAGTGCGCCATGGAGCACCTGGGCGTCGCGGAGCTGCTGCGGCGGCGAGGCGTGGTGGCCGGCCGACCGCGCCGCCACCGATGCGCGGGACGGGGGGGGACGGGAGCAGGGCAACGCAGCAGGGCCAGTGATCCAACCGACATACACCACGTCAATCTGCATTTTTTCTGGGATTTGGGCTGGGTGATCACCCAGTCATGTGCACACCAACCTGCTGGTCGCTCCCAAGTGGCAGGCACCGGTGAGCTCTCACGGGACGATTTCTTCCGATGCACCGGGGACCCAGCCATCCTCCTGGAAGCTGTCGGATGTGGGGCCGTGAGGCTCTTGCAGAAGGAGGTTCCTCTCCAACTGGCCATTCCTGCTGCCAAGAAATCCTTCCAATTTTCAGCCTTCTCTTCTTCACCAATCCTGGAGAAAGAACTTGCAGGCAGTCGTAATCACCTTGTATTGTAATCCTTGCCAAAAAAAACGCGTTAGTCTGGGGAAGCCGGCAAGATCTATGAAACAAGCGCCACCAGCATAGGTTTTTGTCCACACTTCCAGTACTCGTACT